TTAGATTCTAGTAACCCTAGTGATAAGGATATGACATCTTTTATCTTTTTTCTTGGATCTAAAAAATTTTCTCTATTTGCTCACTTTCTGAAGGGACCTAGATCTAGTTTATTTGGGATTGGGATTCAAAATGGCTTTTATAAAAGATTGTTTAGATCATTTTCAAGCATGTTGGTTCCAGACAATGGGGAAAGAAGAAAAACTGATTATAGTTTAATTTTCTAGACTGGGAGATCTAGTTGGCCATGATTAGGGAAGGCAGAGCTTCTGAGAAGAGGAGAGAAGTTGGCTGCTGTGCTGGGCAGCTTCTTCTCAGCGTTTGCTGAGGCAGCCTGAGGTTGACTGGAGGAATGTCTCCCTGCTCTAACTGGCATGAAAACCTGGGTTAGAGACCTGCTGGCCAATGTCCCTGCTTTTCTGTGTAAACCAAAAGATGGGCTGAGCCTTGGCCAACTTCTCTGTGAGCAGACACTTGTAATTCTCAAGGTCGCTCAGTCTGTTTCCTGCCTGAGCCCACCTAACCCTTGTTCCCAGTTCTGGCTGCCTATTGTAGGGCTTTAGGGGGGCTCCTCTGGGGCATATCCTCTGTTACTTCCCAGGAGTGCGCCCTTCCTAAGTCAGTATGTCCATCATCTTGGCTCCATTTATACTCTATCTTGTCGAAATTCATTAAGGTTTGCACGACTCTTTACTGATTTCGGGTGTGGAATAGTATCTTTCATCTTTAAATTATTTGTCCATTTCAATGGGAATTTGGAATAGAGAGGAATTAAATGAATGGGCCCACATTATGATCTATAAATAAGAATCAGAGGCTGAACTAGTTTGCAGTCCCACCAGCAATGTAGAAGTGTTCCTATCTCTCCACATCCGCGCCAACATTTATTATTTTGGGATTTGTTAATAGGGCCATTCTCACTGGAGATAAGTAATATCTCATTGTGGTTTTGATTTGCATTTCCCTGATGATTAGAGATGTTGATCATTTTTTCATATGTTTGTTGGCCATTATTCTGTCTTCTTTTGGAAAGTTTCTGTTCATGTCCCTTGCCCACTTTTTGATAGGGTTGTTTGCTTTTTTCTTGCTGATTTTCCTGAGTTCTAAATAGATTCTAGTTATCAATCCTTTATCGGATGTGTAGCTTGCAAAAATTTTCTCCCATTCTGTGGGTTGTCTGTTTGCTCTCTTGACAGTTTCTTTGGCTGTGTAGAAGCTTTTTAATTTGATCAGGTCCCATTTATTTATTTTTGTTGATGCTGTGATTGCTTTGGGGATCTTCTTCATAAATTCTTTGCCTAGGCCAATGTCTAGAAGAGTATTTCCAACGTTTTCCTCTAGAATTCTAATAGTTTCACACCTAAAGTTCAAGTCTGTTACCCAGTGTGAGTTGATTTTTGTGAGAGGTGAAAGGTGTGGATCCTGTTTCAGTCTTCTACATGTGGCTATCCAGTTTTCCCAGCACCATTTATTGAATAAGGATTCTTTTCCCCAGTGTATGTTTTTGTCTGCTTTGTCAAAGATTAGATGGCTATACGAGGATGGTTTTATATCTGGGTTCTCTGTTCTGTTCCACTGGTCAATGCTCCTGTTCCTATGCCAGTACTATGCTGTTTTAATTACTATAGCCTTGTATCATAGTTTGAAGTCTGATGAATTGATACCTACCATTTTATTTTTATTGCCTAGGATTGCTTTTGCTATATGGGGTCTTCTCTGGTTCCATACTAAGTGTAAAATTATTTTTTCTATATCTGTGAAAAATGATGATGGTATTTTAATTGATATTTTAACGATGTTGATTCTGGCAACCCACGAGCATGGTATGGTCTTCCACCTGTTTACATCCTCTGCTATTTCCTTCTTCAGTGTTTCATAGTTCTCCCTGTAGAGGTCTTTTACCTCCTTAGTTAAATATATTCCTAGGTACTTTATTTTCTTTGTTGTTGTTTTGAAGGGAATTGAGTCTTCGATTTGGTTCTCACTTTGATTGCTGTTGGTATACATGAATGCCTCTAATTTATGTGTATAGACTTTTGCTGGTGGGACTGCAAACTAGTTTAGCCTCTGTGGAAAGCAACATGGAGATACCTTAAAGCGATACAAGTCAATCTACCATTTGATCCAGCAATCCCATTACCGGGGATCTACCCAAAAGAACAAAAGGCACTCTATGAAAAAGACACCTGCACTCGAATGTTTATAGCAGCACAATTCACAATTGCAAAGATGTGGAAACAATCCAAGTGCCCATCAATACATGAGTGGATTAATAAAATGTGGTATATATATAGCATGGAGTACTATTCAGCTGTAAGAAACAAGAGTGATATAGCACCTCTTGTATTTTCCTGGCTAGAGCTGGAACCCATTCTATTAAGTGAAGTATCCCAAGACTGGAAAAATAAGCACCACATGTACTCACCAGCAAATTGATATTAACTGATCAACACCTAAGTGGACATATAGGAATAACATTTACTGGGTGTCGGGCAGGTGGGAGGGAGGGGATGGGTATATACATACATAATGAATGCAATGCGCACCAACTGGAGGATGGACATGCTTGAGGCTCTGACTTGAGGGGGGAGGGGGGCAAGGGCAATATACATAACCTTAACATTTGTACCCACACAATATGCTGGAAAAAAAAGTATGTTTACTTACACTATACTGTACTCTATTAAGTGTGCAGTGTATAGCAACACTGTGTCTTAGAAAACAATGTATATACCTTAATTAAAAATATTTTATTGTTAAAAAATGCTAACAAAAAAAAAGGAAAAAAAAAGAATCAGGATACCGTAACTTGACAGAATACAGAACTGATTTATTTACAGTGTCACCACTAGGTGGTGCCACCAATTAGTGAAAACAATGTGATTGCTATTGCTGGACAACCAAGGACCGCCTGCAGCTAGTACAAGCAGAAGTTTGTGAGCTCATCTGGAACTTGTATGCACTTGTGCATGTGTACATCAGTGTGGGCACACACAATTGTTAGTGTAATATTGATTTACAAGTGTTCACAGGCATGCAAGTATATTCACGAGCCTGTGCACCCTGGAAAGTACAGGCATGAAGCTGAATGATAAGAGCTTACCCATCAAAAGGCTTGCCCATCAGCCCTATCATCTGGAACTCCTGTTCCTTAGTGAGGAAGGCTGCTTGCAGAACGTGCAGAAGGCCACACCCTGGGGGAGAAGGACAATGACAAGGCCACAGAGCAGCTTTTCTGAGGCAGGGAATCCCTAGACATAGTCATCAGTCTGCATCTCTAAAGTCATCAGTCCTGCAAGCCCGTGTGCCAGTCAAGCTTCCAAGAAGGTTTCAGTTACTTCTGAAGTCACTTGGAGGACTGTCTGTAGTCTCAATGCCTGGCCCCCTCGCCCCGAGTGCCCAAAGCATCTACTAAAATGTCCGTCTTGGGATCCTATCTTCTGTCTAGATGGGGAGGGAACCTGCACCTAAGAAGATAGATATCATGTGTGTGGGGTCCCCCCAGTCCCTGCCCCTCAGGCCCATCCACACTCACACATCCTCTTCCCGTTGTCTCTGTGGAGGACCCTCGGCTGATCTCTGGCCCTGGCTCTGGATAGCCCCCTTGCTGCAGGACTGCTGCTGTATTGAGTACCTGCTGTGTACAACGCCCGCAAAGCTGGGGGAACTTTGCATATTCCCTCCCCTTCTCTGGGCTCTGTTTCCCTATCTCTCAGTGAGGGCTGGGTCTGGGTGGTTCCGAGGGCCATTTGTGCTGATCGAAGTTCTTCAAGTCCACGTGTTGCAGGCCCCTGCCCCCACTCCAGCGGCTGGTGTGGAGCGGGAGTCTCCTTGGAGAAGTTCTGAAGAAGAAAATTCCATTTGTCTTCCTCCTCCTCCTTAGAGCAGACTTACCTCCTTAACTTCCCCCCCAGGGAAGATAGCTCAGGAAGGCTCCCGGGGCCCCAGCAGTCTGCAGAAGGAATCTTTACTGCAGCATCATTAAAAGTTCAAGTGACTTCCCCCGAGGGCCAAAGAAGCCCTAAGATTCATTAGACCTGCTGCCTCCTGGGCCCAATTTGGTAGAAGGGAACACGTAGCCTTTTCAGCCAGTGAGGGTTTGCACTAAGTGTATAAGGCGTCCCTGAGAGAACTCTGCTAGGATAGAGTCAGAGGGGGAAGGGTCCCTGGAGGTCACCTCTTGCCCTGGGACTCCTACAGAGGAGGAGACAGGCTGGGTCAGGAGAACGGGTTTGCCCAAGGTCCCCGGGGTGGAGTTGCTGCCAGAGTGCAGAGCAGCCTCGCTGGTGCCCGCAGACATCCCTCCAGGTGGCAGGGAGATGTGCACAGACCCAGGAGGACCCTGGAGGAAGGGGCAGGGACCCAGCCTGGAGGACCCCTGGGGAGCTGGACACAGAGCCTGGGCTTTGGGAGCCCCATTGTGTGTGAGCAAGAGCTTCGAGAACAGCCCAGCAAGCATGCAGCAGAAAGGGCTGCCCAGGGAGAGTAAGCGCTTGTCCCTGAGGCCTGGGAACAGGATGGGACCAGTGCTTCCTGTGAGGAACTCAGGGACTTGGGACCAGGAGGAGGAGGAGAGAGGGTGACTGCTCAGATCCTGGCTGCTCTGTAATTTCTCCACCAGGCAAGAATGGCATTCATGGCTGCTGGGCTGGGATCGTGGGACACAGCAATGGGGATACCTTTTATGGCCCATTGAGACTGTTGAACTGGGAACCAGGAGGCTGGGCCTGGAGCCTGGCCTCTGAGCCCAGTGGCCTCCTTCCTGGCTCCCAGCAACCTTGGGCTGACACCCAGGCCCTCTTGCCTCCCAGCCCCAGCAGGGCGGAGGACCTCCCCAGATGGTGAAAGTCTGCCTGCGGTGCCGCCCAGAACTCAGGATAATTCACTTGACAGAACCTGACCCTTAGCCCCGGAGGACTCTGTGGGCTACAGGATGGGAATCACAGACTGTCAGATGACAACAGCTCCCAAGTAATCTAGTCTGAATCCATGGCAATAGTATCAATGGCAAGCATGTGACAGGAAATGCTTTAAGTGCTTTATGTGTCTTAACTCTTTAATCCTCAGAAAACCCTACGAGGAAGGTAGTATTAGCCAATTCACAGAAGAGAAAACTGAGGCACAAAGAGGTTAAGTAACTTGTGCACAATCACAGAGCAAGTGAGTTGTGTGCTTCCACAGCCCATGTTCTTAATCTCTGTGCTATACTGCCCCTACAGGGGGAAACTGAAGCCCAGAGGGGGCATGTCCCTTAGCCAAGTGGCAGAGTGGAGCCGGCCCCTGCTTCTTACTTCTACACTCAGGGCTCTTCCCTCAACCATACCAGGCCTGACAGCGCCTCTGTCTCTCCCCGGCCTCCCTGCCAGGCCTCCGCAGGGTTAACACCAGCCCGGCCCTGCCCTTGGCCGGCAGCTCCAGTGCAAACAGACTTCGCCCACATTCCCTGGCTGCTGTCCAGCCCGAAGGAGCTAAGACAACAACGCCCAGTGGCTGTGAGGGCTGAGCAGAGGCTGAGCAAGGAGCCATGAGCGGCGAGGGCCCGTCCAGCTCCCAGGTGCTAGGCCTCCTGGGGAGCACAGCCCTCGCGGGGTGGATCCTGGGGGCTGCGGTGGCCGTCCTGCTGCTGCTGCTGCTGCTGGCCACTTGCCTGTTCCATGGACAGCAGGACCATGATGTGGAGAGGAACCATCCAGTCGCAGGAGGAAACCGAGTCCGGTGGGCCCGGCCGTGGCTCTTCCGGCGCCAGGGCCACCCACGGAACTTTCACCTTCACCATCACCATCTTCATGGCCATGTGGGTCACGTGCGGAACGCGGGCCTCCATCATCACCACCTCCACCACGCTCGTCACCACCCCCACGCCCACCACCCCCACCGCCATCACCTCCGCCACGCTCACTGAGGCCGCCACCGTGGATGCCACCCCTGCCATCCATTGCCAGGACAAGCGGACCTGCCGTGTAGAAGGATGCCTCTCTGGAGTGAATGAGGGGTACTGTGACCTGGGTCCTGCTGGGGCTTCATTTGCATACTATGCCCCAGTGCACCAAGGGACACTGGGGAGCCCTGCAGACACTGGAGAATTTGGGGGTGGAGAGCAGGGTGGCCCTTTGGGACTGGACACCACTTTGTGACTATAACTCCCAGTGGGCCCTGGAAGTCACAAGGGTGTCTTGGCAGAGCCAGTGCACAAGTGGGTGTGAAGTACTCATCTTCTGATTTCTTCAAGAGGCAGCTGCAAGCCTCTCAGGCGGTCACAGGAGAGGCCCTGAAAATGCCCTTTCGGTTTCTAGAAGGCAGTGTGGCGCTCACAGTCAATTCATTGGTGCCTTAGTCCAGGAAAATGAAAACCACTAAGAAGCCTTTGGGAAGAGGGTCTTGATTGCAACACAGTGGGAGGGAGAGAGCCTCTGGGCCTGCAGCTGTGTTGCCGGATGCCCTCTCTGATGGGAAGTGCCTGCCCAGAGCCCGGCCTGGGGGGCCTGGGGCTCCGTGCTGGCAGTAGAATGGAGAGAACTGAGTGGGCTCTGCCTGAGCCCGGAGGGAGGATTCCAGGATTGCATGAAGTCCTTCCCAGGGAGGGTCCTCTGTGCACCAGAGCGGCTGTGGCCTTCTGTGGGACAGTCTGGGGCCTCAGAGCAGTGTGGGCACCACTGAGCCTGGCTCCCCCGGGCTCTACTGCCCTTTTCCAGCCCATGTCGGGGCATGCTGAGCTCCCTACTCAGGGAAGCCCCACTCCACAGGCTGCGTGGAATTCCGTTTTCTTGGCCAGGGTTAGCCCAGCCCGAGTCTCCAGCCAGCCTGCCCCTAGCTGTGCCTGTGTGTGCAGGGCAGGTTGGGAGGGAGGGCGTGGAGTTCTGGAAATGGGAGGATGGGGAGTTGGGTGCTGGGGTGCTGGGTGGCCTCAGGAGAGTGCTTGCCACTCTGGATCTCAGTTTCCTCTTCCCTAAAAATGAGATGGCTAAGAAAGACTCCCCCCTTGCCAAATCTGTCTTGTTCCCAAACACTCTATGAACAGCTGGTGGAATCCACGGTGAGGAAGGAGGTCTGGTTCTGAGGCTTCGGCCTGTGCCTGTGAGCTGAGTGGGCAGTGGAGGAGACAGGCCTGGGGGCCAGGCAAGCAGTGGGCAGGGCTGGGAAGCCGGCCAGGAAATCAGGGGCCTGGTGACTCCCTGGAACGGAATGTCCTCTTGTTATTTCCTGGTAGATTCTCTGTGAGAGCTGGAGGAGGGGGAGTGAGGGGGACAGACACAAATTCGCACTAGGTTCCTGAGGTGGGAAGTGCATTGCTGATTTTATTATCTCTGCAGTGACCCTCGAGTCCAGCCTGAAGCATCTCCAACCTGATTTTACAGAGGACTCAAATCAGGGTAAGAGGTTCCTCCAAATCTCAGAAATAGAAAAGGAAACCCATAAAGGCAGAAGACAGCAGGGCTGAGCCATCATCCTTCATTCCAGTTTAACAATGCTACACCACTCGCACCCACAGCAGGCGGCCTACAACTGCTTGTGCTCACAAAGAATAGGCACAGAAGTCAAAGGAACAAATGATCAGGCTTGAAACACAGCCCCCTGGTGCCCTCTGCCCCCTAAACTGATGTTGGCAAGTGAATCAGAAACCCAGGCACCACAGATTAGCTCATCGTTTCCTTCCCTCTGCTTCTGGACACCCAGTTCATACCAGTAACCCGAGGGCTCCACGCGGGGGAGGGCCCAAGGCCCACACCGCCCGGTCGTCTTAGCCAAGGGACAGAGAGAGAATATGACAGGGCATCATTTTCTCTGAAAAGTCAACTCTGCCATTCTGTGTGTAGGAGTTTCTTAACCCTCATTCTAAAGAAAGTTCCCTTGGGCCTTGGAGAAATTGGAAAGGACCCAGGCTGTGTGACCTCGGGCCAGTCCTCTGCCCTTTCTGGGCCTTTCTTTGCACGCTGATCAGGACTGCAGAATCAGATGAGCACTCTGTGGTCACGTGGTACCTGGAGCACGGAGCTAGGAGTGGGGGGGGGGTCCCTCCTCCGCTGTCTGGTGCTCTAGTTATCACTACTAATTTGCAAGGGGCCACGGGTGGGTGGGTCTTTTAACCTCTGTGACTGTCAGCATCTTTGTCTGTAAGATGGAGACAATGTTGCTACATGGGGAAGATCACATGAGACAAGGACTGGCTGTCTCCAGTACCTGGAGTTACTGTTTCTTACTACTTCATGTCTCAGAACGTGGACAGAGTGGCACTAACAAGCCAGTGTCCTTCCAAGAGGTGTTGGGTGTGCCAGGGCTCTGACCTAGCGAGGCCCGATGGAGCCCCTTCTTGCAGATGAACTGTGTCCCAGGCCTGGCTCATTCCCCTCCCCGATTCCCCCAGGGGGCGGGGCAGGAATGGCTTGGAGTGGGGAGGAGCGGGGTAAGTGCCGTCACTGAGGAGGGCAGCTGTGCAGTCCTGGGCCCCCACTCACAATTGGAGGAAGGAAGTCACGAAGTGCTCACAGCTGCTCAGACATCTCCGAGCCAAGTTCCGAGCAGGACCAAGGCTGCAGCACCCAGGGAGGAGCGTCATGGTCCCTGGTGTGGCCACCAGGCCAGGAGGCCACTGCACCAGGTACAGCCAGGGCTGGTTCTTGAGGAGTCCAGGGTAAGTCTACACAGCCCCCAGATGTGGGCAGCGGGCCTGAGCAGACAGCAAAGAGGGCTGGGCGAGGCCTGCCCGGAAGAAGGCTTCTCCCAGGCCCTGCAGTCACTGAAGGGGCCGGAATTCCATCAGGAGCACACTCTGCTCTATCGAAATTGCACGCGCCCAACAACATGCAGAGAAGGAGGCCAAATGCAAAGGGCCCCTGACCCCAGCCTCTGCTGAAGGCCCTGGTGCCTGTGATGACTCGTGAGCGCTTTCAACCTTGCCCAGAGCTGGCGCTTGCCGTCTTCTCCCTCTGCGTCCCTGCCCCCAGCGGCTGGGCCCACTGAAGGACTGGCCCAAGCTCCTTCCAGGGAGGAGTCCGGCTCCCCCTGGATCCGCAGGAGGGGGAGTATTTTGTCTTTTGACTGAGTGTACAATCGCTCTTGAAATCTGTAGGCGTCACCAGAGAGCCAGGGCTGGCCAGGCTCCCTCTGAGCAGCGTCTTTGGCCCCCTTGTCCCCACCTCCTCCGTGTCCAGGGAGTCTTGTGGTCATAACTTCCAGGATGGTGGTGCTTCTAGAAGCTGCCATGGACTTGACCACAGCTCTTGGAAGCCTGGCCTGAGGCTTAGAAAATGGAGATCATCTGAGATCGGAGAAGCAGGGCCACATGAGCTTGACCCAGCGCCTCAGACCAGCCTCTCCTTAGAAGGCCAAGGGAGAGTGGCTGGAGGAGCACAGGGCGCCTGCGATCACCAAGAGCCCCTGAATGGATGTGGGGCTAAGGCTCTGGGAGGACCCAAGTTTGCTCGGCGGGTCAGCGGCCACACGGGCCATGGAAACGGCAGTGATTGGGGTGGTTGCGGTGCTGTTTATGGTCACCGTGGCCATCACTTGCATCCTCTGCTGCTTCAGTTGTGACTCAAGGACCCAGCATCCCGAGGGGGGCCCTGGCCGCAGCTTCACGGTGGCCACATTTCGCCAGGAGGCGTCTCTCTTCACAGGGCCCGGCCGCCACGCCCCGCCAGCGCCCAGTGCCCGGGACTTCTGGACCTTCATGTGAGGCCTAACAGTCCCTCGGGAGTTGCTCTGCTGGTGGGTCACACTCACCCACCCTCAGCAAGCCTTCCCTGGGGTCCGCCTCTGTGATCCTGCATCCCTGTCCTTCCCCTCCTGCATCCCGTGTCTCCCCATCTCCTCCCATCCCGGCTTGCCGTGCCCTCCAGCCTGGGGGATCCACCTGTCGTGGCCAGGGGGGAGTTGGCTCTGACCAAAGCTCAGCTGGGCCCCACCCACAGGAGGGCCCAGAGAGTCGGTGAACAGACACCGCGTGGGATTGCATGCTGGGCCAGCTCTGCTGATCTGCACCCGCACTGGCACATCACTGGGATTTATTGTAAACAGAGTGCTCAGGACACTGGTTCTATTGCCACCAGGGGAAGCAGCGCCCCCAAGCGGACATTTTCAGGAACCATTTCTTATCTGTGCCCCTCACGGACTATTTTTGCACATTGCACAGAGCCCAACCCTGAGGCCTGCGCCTTGCCAGGTGCCTGAAATCAGTCCTGAAATTCTGAAACCAAAAAGCTGCTTCCTGGGGACAAGTGATTTGTTTTGTAATGGAAAGTATATGGCCTTTTATGGGTCTTTCCAAATCTGGTTTGGAAAACCACAAAAAGAAGCAGAAGAGAAAACAAGAGTCACAGAAAGTACGAGATGTTTTATTAACAGGAAAGCCAGAAAGAAGACTTTGAAACATATTTTGAAGAAGATTTTATTGCTATATTCTAACAGGTCACTTCTATTCTTAGAGAATGTGAGTGACTTGCGTCACTTAGGAATGATACAAAAATCATGAACTGAAAGATAATTCCAAAAAAGTTAAAATGCTATGTTACATTCGGAGCATGTAACAAAGCTCTTGTTTTCATCACAAATAAAGACCTATTCAGTTTTTATTAATAGAAAATCTGTTCTCTCTGTGGCTGTGGAATAAATAAATGCCATGCCATATTTAACACATTGACTGCTGCACTAGAAAAAATTTTTTTTCCTTGGGGCCGTGGAGTTTTATTACAAAAATAGAATAAAAGCTTTGAAAATAAAACAATCCTGTCTAATTTAATGAAAAATTTGTTATTTTTTAAATTGTTTTCTGTGCATGAGTTATATACAACTTCAAAATAGTTCACTGTGGCTCCCAAGGTGAAGAGACGTGAGTTACGTATGCTTCATGAGGCCCCGGGTGCAAAACTAGCATGAGTTATATCCAACTCACATGGCAGTTAATGTGTTAAAGTGTATGGTTTGAAGGGTACAAACTTGTGAGTCTCCTAGCTCCTACGTCTGCATTCGGCCCTGAATGGGTGGCTCTCCTGGATCTTGCATGTTGAGGGGGGCTCTGGCCTCTAAGGGTGCCCAGATAGGCTGCCCTTGCCATGTGGCTGCCATAGGAAGGGCCCCAGAGAGAGAGGATGGGGCAGGAAAGGATCACAGGGGCAGGTGCAAGGAGGGAGACTGATGAGGAGGGAAGGGGCTGAGCCTGGGAACAGGAGCTCCTGGGACTATGTCCCCGTCACTCTGGACCCTAGAGCCCCCACCCAAGCTGAGGCGAGTGGAAGGGAACTGGCTGCATGCAAGGAGGCCATGGAGACCGAGTGAACTGTTGCAGATGGTGTCTCTGACAGGGAACTCTGAGACAAAGTTTGGGTGCAAGATGTTTACTAGGGATCAACACCTGTGAGGGGAGGGAGGAGGAAGCAGGGTTGCGTGGAGGAAGTCAAACTGTGATGTGAACCCCCTTAATAGTCCCCCACCTTGCTCTGTCTCTCAGTCCCCCCACCCCCTCCCCGGGTTTGCCCTCAGGCAAGGCAGCGCTTCCAGCCCAGGCTGGCCCTGAAGTCCCTCCTTGAAAAGGGGCCTGGGCAGTGTCTCCACAGGAACGGAGCGGTCCTGTTCTCAGAGGTACTTAGACCAGTCAGAAGTGGGTGAGTGTGTCCAGACACAAAGAAAAGCCTGGGCACAGGCTCCCCAGGAGGGGAGAGGCAGCTGTGCAGGATCCGGAAGGGGAGAAGAGTGGCAGCAGCCACCCCCTGCCCGCAGGCAGAGGCAGCTCTGCTCCAGGGCAGCCATCTTTCTGGAGCCAGGCCCAAGGCTCTGCTCTTGCACTGTGTGGCCACAACCCTCACTGGGTCAGTGCAGGGAGGGCCTACAGGCTCAAATCACAGAACTATGAAAACAAAGCAATGACAGTGGTAGGGGGTGGCTTCCCTGCTCAGGAGACAGGCAATCTGTCAAGCCCTGAGTTCTCCTCATTTGCTCACTTGCTCATCCACCCACCCACCTATCTACCACCCACCTACCTGTCTATCCATCCACCCACCCATCTATCCATCCACCCACCCACCTATCCATCCACACACCCACCTATCTATTCATCCACCCACCTATCAATCCCCCCACCCACCTATCCATCCCCCCACCCACCTATCCATCCACCCACCCACCTATCTATCCACCCACCCACCTATCCATCCATCCACCCACCTATCTATTCATCCACCCACCTATCCATCCACCCACCCACCTATCTATTCATCCACCCACCTATCCATCCACCCACCCACCTAAATCATCCACCCACCCACCTATCCATCCCCCACCCACCTATCTATTCATCCCCCCACCCACCTATCCATCCCCCCACCCACCTATCCATCCACCCACCCACCTATCCATCCCCCCACCCACCTATCTATCCATCCACCCACCTATCTATCCACCCACCCACCTATCCATCCACCCACCCACCTATCTATTCATCCACCCACCTGTCTGTTCATCCACCCACCTATCTATCCACCCACCCACCTATCCATCCACCCACCCACCTATCCATCCACCCACCTATCTATCCACCCACCCACCTATCCATCCACCCACCCACCTATCTATTCATCCACCCACCTATCTGTCCATCCACCCACCTATCTGTCCATCCACCCACCTATCTGTCCACCCACCCACCTATCTACCCACCCACCTATCTATCCACCCACCTGTCTACCCACCCACCCTATCCACCCACCTACCTATTCATTCACCCATCCACCTGTCTATCCACCCAGCCATCCACTAACCCATCTATCCATCCACCTGCCCATCTGTGTACCCACCCATCTATTCGCTCTGAGTCTTACTTCCTAAGTAATCAGTGGGGTGTGTGTGTATGTCGGGGTGTGTGTAGTGTGTTAGAGTATGAGTGTCTGGGTCTGTGTGTGCTGTGTGTGTCTGGTGTGTGCATGTGTATGCTATGTTAGAGTATGAGTGTGTGCCATGTCTGTGTTTTTGTGTGTGAGTGGTGTGTATGTGATGTGTGTGTGGTGTATATGTGTGTATAAGTGGGGCAGTGTGTTTGGTGTGTTAGAGTATGAGTGTGTATGTGATCTGTGATGTGTGTATATGGTATGTGTGTTGTGAGTGTGTTATGTGTTGTGCATGTGAATGGTATGGGGTGTTTTTATGGTGTGTTAGAGTGTACATGTTAGTGTTGTGTGTGGTGTGGTGCATATATGTTGTATATGTGCATTTATATGGGGTGGTGTGTATGGTGTGTTAGAATGTGAATGTGTGTGGTGTGTTTATGTGTGTGATGTGTGTTGTGTGATGTGTGTGTTGTGGGATGTGTGTGTTGTGGGATGTGTGTGTTGTAGGATGTGTGTGTTGTGGTGTGTTGTGTGTGTATGTTGTGGTGTGTGTGTTATGGTGTGTTGTGGTGTGTGTGTATGTTGTGGTGTGCTGTGGTGTGTGTTGTGGGGAGTGCGTGTTGTGGTGTGTTGTGGTGTGGTGTGTGTATGTTGTGGTGTGTATGTGTTGTGGTGTGTTGTGTGTTATGATTTGTGTGTGTTGTGGTGTGTATGTGTTGTGGTGTGTTGTGTGTTATGATTTGTGTGTGTTGTGGTGTGTGTGTTGTGTGTGTATGTTGTGGTGTGGTGTGTGTGTTGTGATGTGTGTGTGTTGTGGTGTGGTGTGTGTATTGTGGTGTGGTGTGTGTATGTTGTGGTGTGTGTGTGTTGTGGTATGATGTGTGTATGTTGTGGTGTGTGTGTTGTGGTGTGTGTGTTGTGGTGTGTGTTGTGATATGTATGAGTTGTAGTGTGTGTGTTGTGGTGTGTGTATTGTGGTGTGTGTTGTGATATGTATGAGTTGTGGTGTGTGTGTGTTGTGGTGTGTGTTGTGATATGTATGAGTTGTGGTGTGTGTGTGTTGTGGTGTGTGTGGAGATATGTATGAGTTGTGGTGTGTGTGTGTTGTGGTGTGTGTGTGTTGTGGTGTGTGTGTTGTGGTATGTGTCCGCAGGAGGTGCTCCTGCCATTGTCCCTGGTGCAGCCCAGGTGTGAGAAGAGGGCGGGCCCAGCAGCAGCAAGCTCGCAGCCCCTCTCTGTGAAAGCCTGGCCTCTTCCCGCTGTTCCCACAGGAGGGGAGACTTAGGCTGGCACCAACATGCTAGCAAGGCTGGGAGTGTTCATCTGGTGGCAGTGAGAGAGGTGGCTGCTCAAGGTCACCCGGAGCTACGCTTGGCCCCAGGCCTGCCAGTTTCCAAATCTAGCGTCCTCTCCATCCTGCTATTGCTAGTTTCTATTTATTGGATCTTACTGTGCACCAAGCACTTTTTTTTTTTAATTTTTTTATTTTTATTTTTTATTTTTAAGATAGCTGTAGAAGATGAAATGCACCAAGCACTTTATGCTTTC